TCTACCCCGGATCTTCCAAATGAAGTACTAGTAGGCCCAACGATGACGAGTTCCTTTTTCAAGGATACGACAAATTGGTTGTTTGTTCGGGGGGCTCTTTATCAAGGAATGTACTGCGACAGAAATATGGGTTTAATATCACCACGTTTTTTTTAATGATGTCATTCAATATAACATTACTCGCCTCCCATTTCACGTTTTATTACCTATTTAATCTATTGACAAATAGGCTATCTTAATTAAATAGAGGCAGTATCTGAAATTCACACAGGTCTACGCCCAGATTGAGAGAACGTATCAAACCGTATCAAATGTCGTCGCTGAATGGTTTGTTAACAAAACAACTATCTAAAATGTAGTTGTACTTTTTAAATCAGCATTAACAAGAGCAAATAAACGAGCACACACCGAATTTAAAGGGAGACGAGGCTCTGGGAAATTGTGAGTCCCAGGCAAATTTATATCGCTGAGGAATACGTAGCTGTACAAAGAAACACCGTAGGATACATGGGTCAATTGTTTTTGTACAGCTGCGATCGCGAATTGTGTGATTTATGTCATTCAAAACCAAACAAACTGGTCTTCAAACACAAGTTTTAAAATGTACATGTTTATATCAATCCGCAAAGATGACGACCTGAGCTACCCAAATATTTATAATCTAATACACTGCCTAGGCCCAGACCGAAAAGTCCCCCTTTAATGATCCTTGTATAGATGCGCACCGTGTGTATTACACAGGGACGTGCTCTTGTCTGAGTGTGCGGTAGATATAATAATATTAACTGTAAACATTCAAGTTTCTGGCCAACATTTGATAATAGCCTTTAATAAATTGCGCACTTTACGTCTTGCGTAGGGTTTGCTTCTAATGGCGCGTGTACATTACATGTAACGGTATATTGCTACTGTGATACCCATGACAAAGTCGTCTTGACATAATTAATAAGGGGGTCAATGCCCCCGGGGAATTTTCTGGGTCATTGTTGCGTTAGGTGGGAACGTCCGAGTTACATAATCATAGCACACAAGCAATGATCCCAACTTGTCGCATGTCGCAAGCCAAGGTTAACTGTACACCCAGTTCACCATTCGCTGCTTCCCGATCTTTAAGTAGCCATTCGGTTTGACACGGAATATCATTACTTAATTGTTCGGTTAATATTTTTTCCAGAATTATATATACTTAGTAGCTCTACGGTTTTCGGTTATTCAAATTTGATACTACGATAACACTTACCTCTATGGATCTACTATATGCTGATATAAAAAGACAAGTATCACATTTGGATAGTGTTATCGGTGCGATAAACCAATCTGATCGAATGGCACCACGGTTCGATACCTATGTAAACATAGGGTCACCTTACAGCAACTACTTTTAATCTCCATACATCCATGTGTGTGTGTGTGTGTGTGTGTGTGTGTGTGATTGTGTGTGTGATTGTGTGTGTGTGTGTGTGTGTGTGTGTGTGTGTGTGTGTGTGTGTGAGTGAGTGAGTGATTGTGTGTGTGTGTGTGTGTGTGTGTGTGTGTGTGTGTGTGTGTGTGTGGTTTTGTTGCCTTTAAAACTATGAGCCTGGTTTTGTTTTAGTAAACAATCCTTGCAATAATGTAATTTTTGTGGCAGGCAATACCTTTTTTTCACGAATTTTCGGGATCATTTTTTTCGATAAAAGACTGTATTCATGGTTTCTAAATTACGTCTTTGAGAGAAGCTACGACTTAAACATCGATCACGGTAAGAATGAAAATATACGATAAGGACAGCATTACCCTCTTGTGTTTCGTATCATGTGTGTGGATACATCAATTACTTTTAGGGCAGTTTTGAGATTAAGCCAATAACATATCTACGAGTGAGTGAGTGATTGAGCGAGTGGACGAATGAGTGAGAAATTACCAATGGTGTAGGACATGACACATTGGTTCACTTATTCCATGGCGTACATTTGCAGGAATTAGATTACACATGCAGCATGGAGGTGACAGCCCGGCTCAACGGTGGACGAACGAACGCTTTAACCTCTAGACTATATACACTACATACGTCAATGCAACAAATCCACTTTTAATACCAGCTCAGATATATATCAGGGCTAATTTCCGGTTGCATAATTCCAATCTTGGACCACACTAGTGATTGGAAGCAAGGACAATGATCAACACCACAGTGGTACGCTGACACGCAATCAGCCAAGTCACATACTGACCACTTGATCCCCAGGTCAGCTCTTACCACAAGCTTACCGTGAAGATCCGGGTTAAAGTAGGTCTTCAGCAACCCATTCTTGTCGTAAAAGGCGACTAACGGGATCGGGTTGTCAGGCTCGCTGACTTGCTTGATGCATGTCATCGTATCCCAATTGCGTGGATCGATGCTCATGATATCAGTCACTGGATTGTCTGGTCCAGATTCGATTATTTACAGACCACCCTCATATAGGTAGAATATTGCTGAGTGCGACGTTAACAAACAAACAAACAAACAAACAAACAAAACAAACAAACAAAAGCTAGTTGGTGTGAAGGAATGCCTGCGAAATGTCAAAGTGGCGGATTGGGGCAAGTGCTCGCCCATCACAGATCTAAATAAAAATGGTTTGAGTTTGTGAACGCAAGTTTTCTACAATTGTAATCAATTTATTTTCAGTATCATTCAAAACATAAACTCTCTTCAGTCCTTTACCGGTGCACATATAGAGTGTATGTTCATGTACATAGTGAGTTGCGAGAACTTAGGTAATTAATAAACAGAAACCACATCGAAGGCCTCTTTAGGAGGAATACGGTAAAACTGACATTTGAATAGCGTGGGCCACGGTGTTTGATACCACCTAAACAGTGAGAAATGTGATTCTCTTGGGTCATATAATCCATGGATTCGCTGCTTACACGGCGGTGTAAGCCTTTAACTATGTACCTATAAAATACGCCCAGCCAAGCACGAACGCGATGGTGACGTGTAAAGTCGTATAACAAGAAGTACCCAAGGGTAACAGTATATAACACTGCTTCAGTAGAATCTTTGACATCCGGTAATAGTTCCGTTCTGACGGTCGCAAAAAATAGGTTCACACAGATAAACTGAAATATCATAAACATATATGTTTGTTGGTTTGTTGTTTAACACCGCACTCAGCAATAATCCAGCTACATGACGGCAGTCTAAAAATAATCGAGTCTGGACCAGACAATCCAGTGACTGTCATCATGAGAATCGATCCACGCAATTGGGATACAATGACATGCATCAACCAAGGCACCGAGCCTGACCACCTGATCCCGTTAGCCGCCTCTTAAAACAAGCATGGGTTGCTGAAGACTCATACTAACCCGGATCTTCACGGGTGAAACATATAATTTATGTATGTCAATTAATACAAACTGATAAACATCTATGAATGAATGAGTGAATGAATGTTGTTTAAAGCCACAGTCACTCACTATATCACGGCGTAAATAATTGAGTCCGGTTCCAACAAACCAGTGGTTGACATTATGAGTAACGTGTCACGCCATCGTGACAGGACACGCAAACTGCCAAGTCAGTAAGACAACACGCAGTCGCTTCCATAGACAATTCGCAATAGGTAAGCTTATGGGGAGTGAGTGAATTTGGTTTTACGCCGCTTTTAGCAATATTCCAGCAATATCACGGCGGGGGACACCAGAAATGGGCTTCACACATTGTTACCATGTTGGGAATCGAACCCGGGGCTTCGGCGTGACGAGTGAACGCTTTAACCACTAGGCTACCCGACCGCCCCTAAGCTTATGGTAACCAGGGTCCTCACGGGGGAAGGATGTCGTTTGCTTATCGTGAGAAAAGGACGTTATAATTAAGAAATAAACGACTCGTGGTCGTTGTTTATCGTATAATAAAACACTGCAGGGAGAATAAACCATGAGGGAAACAGTCCCGAGTGGTTTTCTCCTTGCAGAGTTTTATTGTGCGATAAACGACCAGGAGTCGTTTATTTCTTATATGAGATATCAACATTATGTACAACCTCATTTTGAAAGGATGTTGATAAAATGTACAAGCTTTAAAAATATTAAACAAATTTTAATCATGATGACTCACTGGATAGAATCCGATCTGGAAATTTTGGACAAGTCCACTTTACGAAAGGTGGGTTAATTTTAGTATTTCCCGCAGAGTCTCACAATCCTCACGTCGATCTGTACCTTTTCTCCTCATAAAGATTGTCGTATCTCCCCCACTTTTGGATGCGATCGTTCCCCCACTGCTTTTATCTGCGTAGCCCAGGTACATGTACGGGGAACAACTTACTAGACACTTCCTCTAAAAAAATAACGTCTTCCAAGTTGCCAGCCATATTCAAATCTCGATAAATGACGTCACGATAGAACAATGTTTCGTTCTTCATTGTTCTTTGCGATTTATCGCGTAGCTAGCTATCTTATACGTGTTTATCGTACGAAATGACGTTATATACTTATCGTACGACAGGCCGTTATTTGTTTATCGTTAGAAAAGGGTGTTGTTTGCTTATCGTGAGAAAGAGGCGTTAGCTTATGAAAACATTACGTCAAATCAGAGACCATAAAATAGAATTTTATGGTCTCTGGTCATATGCTACAGCTTTAAAATCAGATATTTAAAAAAAAAGAATAAAAACAATGAGTTTAAATATTTCTTATTTAAAAAACACACCTTTCAAAAATGTATTCTTGTGGCAGACATTCTGGTTTGTTTTAGGTTGATGCATGTCATCGTATCCTAATTGCGTGGATCGATGCTCATAATGTCAATCACTAGATTGTCTGGTCCAGACTCGATTATTTACAAACCGCCGTCATATGTAGCTGTAATATTGCTGAGTGCGGCTTTAAACAACAAACAAAAACAACGTTAATCAGAATAACTTTTGTACATCTCTACATTAAAAGGGGGAGAGAAGTAGGGGGAGGGGTGGAAGTGTCACAATCTTGAGACGTATCTTGTGTTTTTTATAAAATATTTGTAATGTTCGTGGTATCAAATTAATACAGTAATTTTGCGTATTCGATTAGTGTGAAATTAACAATAAAATGCCTTTTTCTTATATTCCAGTATGTTAATATGTGACAAAATGTTACATTTTCCAATAGCGAAAAAAGACTGTAATACAAGACATGACGTCATTACAATGTATGACATCATAATAGTGTAGCAATAACGGAACAATGTATTTACAAGAATCTTCAGGTCATGTGTGCACTGAATGACACCATGCATCCCCAACCTCAGCATCACTAAATTGAGATGAAATGAGATAAAAAAAAAAAAAATGATAGTTAAATAGATGGAAATTGATGAACGATATCAAAGACCGTGCATGCGCTTTACAACGCTCATTATATGACATGGACAAAAACGATATACGAATTCCAGAAACGTACAATCACATTGTGATATAACGCTCCAAGTAATATTTCCTTGTTTACAGAACGCCTTAAAGTGTCCAGTTAAAAGGAGACCCACTCAAAGTTAGCTACACGAAGGGATATTCTATAACTATTAACGCGACTCTAGCCCGGGGCTTCCCCTAAAACCGGTGCTGCTATAGGCTGAAGCGGAAGGCATTGAGCGTGACTGGAGGGCTAGCACGTCGTATCAGCGCGGACATATATAGTACATTCGGAAAGTTTGGAGTAAACCGCAGTGGATCTTAATGGTCCAAAGGAAGCGGGCACATTCAAGGTGTGCGCATCGCATTGTTTACGTACATAATAGTGTCTTAGGATGGCGGAAAGCGCTACGACCTGCGATGGTGTTGATTTGGCATGGATGTATCAGGAGGCTGGAGACGACGAGGACGACCAAGACTGGGCCGATGGGTAAGTGTGTTTATCATAAACATTTATTTGACATATTGCGTGATTGCTTGGCTCCTTTTCCGCACGGTGTAGAGAGTCATTGTCAATCGCATGCTCGAGTATTGTTTGTGGCGGCGCTCAATGGGCGGCTGTTGTTCAAGATCGTCAGTAAACAGACTTTCTCGCGCTATTTAGAACACTCCGGTCTGATCAGCTGTTTGTGATAATTGACACCACTTTAACACATGAAGCTGTCCTTGAAATTGTTAGATACTGTCACTTCTGTCAGTTTGTAGCATGCTTGTTGAAAGTACAGTGTCGAGTTATTTCACGTGAGGAGTTTGGTGTGATAACAGTGATTTATCGAAGGAGCACCGAGAAGTGTTCGAAAACATTATCAAACAATGCATTTTGCTGTTTTATTGTGATCCTGTGATTTCTAATCACTGAGCATGTGATTTCCTTAACATAATAAATACCTCTTTAATAAACAGTTTCTACAATGATATCAATATTATTTTTGTTTATTACTTTAATGGTGAGTAGTATGGGTTTACACTGTGTTTTCAACAAAGGATTTGATCCTGGAGAACTTCAGAGGTATTCATATCTAGTGCTTGAATTGCATGTAGTTTTTGTATCTGTACATAAAGGCTCTAGACAGTTATCAAAACAATGGTACATGCAGAATAAATTCATAAGCCTGACTTTAATGTAGGTCCCACACAATGGAGAGGGGACATCTCAAAGGTTTGGTGTATGTATTATTACCTTAGACAAATATACAAAGTATAACGTCAGTCATTTGATAATTTTGATATAGTTATGATATCCTTGATGGTTCATCTTTTTGTTCTGTGCAACTGGTTGTTGAAGCTATTTAAATGCCTCCTACACAGTCACTCTAGTTGCAATCAGTCATTATAAGTATCAGGAGTTTCTAATGATACTGTTCACAATAGTCGGGTAAGAATTCAAGTTATACTTGTCACATCCCAGGTGAAATCATCCATTGAATGATTGAATGGTGCAGTACATAACTGAATGTTGCAGTGTCAGATACACAATTTGTGATCAAACCTATACAGCGCTAACTAACAAGTGATTAATGTAATGAACACTGAAACTGTAGATATTTTAAATGACTTAACATGAGTAAGTATTGCCTGTTATGAAACATATTTAACCTTATACCATTTTGATGCATGACAATATATATGATATTTGTAAAAACGTAATGAAGAATATTGTTTTCCCCCAAAAGAATACTGCAAAAAGAGTCCACTATACACTTTGTGTTATGTACATGGTGTACAGTGGTAAGGAAAAATTCACTTTTCACATCTGTTAGCGTCAGATATCTAAAAGGTCTCTCTCTAAATTCCTTAATCCTGTGTATAATACTATTAGTAAAATAAATTGGTATCTATATATTCTGTTTTCATTAGCAGGGATCGATTTAGCAATATCCAAGCTGCACCAGTGCAGGTAAAACATTGCTTGTGCAGGTAACTTGTATTACCAGGTTATATACAGATTTCCCCAAAATAAAATACTGGAGCACATTCTAAAGTTTATTTTCTCTTTGAAATTATATAATATTTAAACTAACTGAAAATACAGTGTTTCAATTTATGATAAAATGGTGCAACCAATATTTTGGTGGTGCAACCAGATTAATTTACTTGGTTGCACCTGTGCAGTTGGTAAAACAGAATGAAATCGTACCCTGATTAGTTCTGTTAAATGCTGCAATTTTGTACATGTTGAAAATTGTACATCATTGTATCTCTTGTGCCACCACCGCCGTCATATAGCTGGAATTTTGCTGAGTGCGGCGTTAAACAACAAACCAACCATTTTATTTCAGATATAAATGAGTTGAGCTGGTTGAAGGAAACTGCAATGACAGATAATGCACTTGACAAGCAACACAGCCTACGTGGACATATTGCTTTATCATTACTTGTTAGAGGGTGGACTTACTAGCTGTTTTGTGAAAAAAACATATTTTCAGCAGTACGAATATCGTGACATCATAACGTATGATGTGACATTTCGTGGCAAATAAGACTTTGTAATGTATAAACTGATGATAAATTTGTCACGTGTCAATTGGGGAGTGTACAGGATTTACAAGCTGAGGGTCCGGTACACTCCTTGACTTTCCGTAAAGAGATGTACAAGGACCCTTCTCTTCATAAAATCCTTTACACACACTTCTGACACAGGCAACTCATAATATTTGGTCACATATAAAGCGAAACTAAGGAATTGTTTATTTTACATAATCATATGTATTAAATTCCTACAGGGATTTGTCTAAAGCTGCTGAGGCCTGATATTCATCCCCAAGTCTGCAGCAATTGCCAGTGAAAGTTCCAAATGGAAATTAAATCATTCCTATTTAATGTAATATTAATGCTATGGCTTGGTTGTGGTGACTTGTATTCCGTTCATTGATAACAGGACCAAAATAGAACATCTTCCCTAGGCAAGGGTGTTAACTGACTTTAAAAGTCCAGTTTCCACCCTTGCCGAACTAGGCTGGAATTATGGAGTTATATTTTGGCTGGACTAACTAGTCTATGCTTTGTCAAATCAAAATCTCATTACGAAGTCGACATCCGGTTTGTAAATGCTGTGCATATTTTTGTTGATTGCAAGATTTGCAAAGCATGTGTACCACCAACTCAGCATCAAAAGATATTTCCCAAATTCTTTCATGTTTTTAGTCAAGGTGCTCACCTGATTTGATGCACTTCGCAAAGAAACACCCATTTTAACAAAATATAGATTTTGATTATCATGATAATTGATCGAATCATCTTGACTTGGCACCACCATTTGTTTAAAGCAAGGGCAAATGATATGAGAGGTGGAATCTGATTGGTCGATAGGAAGGACATAACTCGTAATAGCCACTGGTGGTGCTACGATCGAGCCCAGAAATTCCAGCTTAGATTGGCAAGGGTGGAAACAGGACTTTTATAGTCAGTTAACTCCCTTGCCCCAGGAACATGAAACAGAAAGGACGAGGCGGTATACCTACATTATTGTATTGAAAACAATGTTACAAGACAATTTTAAAATATGAATGTAGCAATTTTTCCCAATTTGCCTCACAACGGCAAGGGCACTTGTTTATATCCATAATTTGTACTTACTCTGTCATTCGTTAGCTTCGATTTAATTCTGTGGCATCCTTATCAAACAATTCAAGGGCGCATGTTTGGAATTCTATAAACTCCCTGATTTATAGATAACAAAATGAAAATTATCGCCATGCTGTATGGACACCTATTGAACCTGTGAGGCAGTTTGCAGGTTTTCATTCAACCGTAGCTTGTTGACTAATTGATTCATAACAGTAACGAGATGATGACACAACACTTACTGTCAACCATTCATCTCCATGTCATGGCCTCAAGTGGAAGGATATTAAACTATCATAATAGGAAGAAATGATGGGAGGCCTGTCTATCGTAACATTGTTACTTATAAGCATGTATACCACAGCAATCAGTGACACAGGACCGGTGATGACAGGTGTTTAGAGCGTGATAAAAAATCAGTCCTAAGTGTGTAATAAACATGAAATATACAACTACTACTACCCAGCAACGTTGTCTATTTCAGGACAGTAACATATGACATAGTTATGACAGCATGTTTTTATAGTGTGACATCATGTTGATTTCAAGAAGTGGGTGTAGCCATCATGTTAATCATGAGTCATTGTGTTACAAACTTAGTTTTTTTGTCATGGATGATGTTTAGAAATTGATACCTTTATCATTTTTGTGAAGATAGTGGAGCAATTGAATGTCTAGTCTGTTGCTAAGACACAAACATTTAACATTTCCTCCGGAACCAACTGTATTTTTTGTATTAAATGTCTGGCGCTTAGAAAAATGTCAAAGGGGCCACATATTTAACCATATGCAACCAGTTATTGAGTGAGTATGGTTTTACGCCGCTTTTAACAATATTCCAGCAATATCACCGCGGGGGACACCAGAAATGGGCTTCACACATTGTACCCATGTTGGGAATCGAACCCGGGTCATCGGCGTGACGAGCGAACACTTTAACCACTAGTCTACCCGACCGCCCCTACGCAACCAGTTATATTTGATGATGGGATTGAATAGTACTGAGCAAACTTGGTTCAAACCTTGGTGAAACTAAAACGTTTTTGATAATAGTTACAAGGCAAGTATATACTCCTTCTGCACTGCTGTTTTCTGTAAACAAATCTGTAATATTTACAAGAAATATGTAATTAAATGTTCAGTCTTATATTGGGATTCTTATAAGAATTACAGAATGGTACAGACGTTGGTCAGGGGGCATAGGAACAGGGAGCTTGATATGGTGGATGGGTTAAGTGGGAGAGGTGCTTATGTCATTGACTGTCGATTCTTGTTTTTTACGCTGAGTGAAATGTCTCAGTCCCACATGTACAAACAGAATATAAAATCTACTTAAAACCAGAAGGGATTTATTTGAAAGGAGTAATACCTAATGATCATCTTTGTCTGTTTTAGCCTATCAATATGATCATGATCACCAACCAGATGTGATTGACTTAAGACTTGTGATAATAACTGAATGATCTAGATGCATTATCACGATGTGCTTTTTACTTTAACATGATTTACGGATTACATTTTAAATTTTTTAAAAAAAATTCACAATTGATTTTTGAATAAACTACATCAGTCACTACAATCATCACTATTGACACAACTTGCATTGTTATGTGTGAGTGAGTGGGGTTTTATGCCACTTTTAGCAATATTCCAGCAATATCACGGTGGGAGACACCAGAAATAGACTTCATACATTGAACCCATGTTGGGAATGGGTGATCATGACCTGGGTTCATACCCAACGTGGGTATAACCTTTGAAGCCCGTTTCTGGTGTCCCCTGCTGTCATGCTGCAGGAACACTGCAAAAAGTATCGTAAAACCATACTCACTCACTCACTTGACAGAAATGGAGTGAAAAGTACAGTGCACCATCTATATGTGGAAAGTGTAAAATTGAATACATTTCTAAAATACAAAAAGGAAACAATTTATGACCACTTTAAAAAAACTGTATGTTGAAACTCTTTGTATTCATATCCCTACTGAGACAGAGCCCATAGTCCTCACCTAGAAATATGACATAAAATGAAAACAGTTTCCTAATATTTGACATTATTTGACAATTGTTAGCTGCATCATGTATATTATTATCTGGGGTCCTGGGGCAGTGAGATCAACAAGTCACAGAGACAGCAGGAGTAGTAAAACACTTCCACTTCCATCAATCTTGATCTCCAGTCATTTTTTGACAAGTTTATGACCGTTTTCTCGGTTATATTGTTTTATGATCAAATAAAAAGCTGGATCTATTCAGAAATTCGCTGCTTGTTGACACAGATTGATAGAGTTGTAATCCTCAAGGCATGAAAAGTGCATGTTAGCTTCAAATAGGTACTCTCCATCTGTCTTTATTTAATGTTTGACATTCCTTAGTCAGATTTGATATACATGATTTGTGTTGACATTTAAAATATTCATGACAAACTCTTCATCAGATACAGATACAATCTGTTGTATGTTCATACAGATAGTTCAAGTTCATTATCTCTCTGTGTTGATGTGTGTATTTGTGTCATACATCAAGACTGTATCTAGATCTGCTCAGAGGATGATATGGAGACTGAAATTTTGTCCCAGAAATAATCTTCTCTTGTATACAAATCTGTATCTACTAAACATGCTAAATATAAAATAAAATCCAAAAGGGAGCCCAGAACAGGCCTAGAGCTGCAGCAATCTAGACTTGCCAAATCATTCTAGACTTGTGTTGGACTCCTTTTTTAATTTATTCTCAAGGGTCTGGGAGTCAGACTAGAAGATATTCTTCCCCAAGTCTGCAGCTAAGGACACATTTCTAAATTAGAATTACAGATTTCCCAATTCCTGTAGTTACAGTAATAACCAGTGAAAACCATTGTTATTTAGAGACTTGTATTGCACTTATTTTTAAATTATTGCATTAAATGCGATGTTAAAATACCTCCTAATTTGAGAAATTAAGACCTGTAACAATAATCCCAAGTTTGATGTGCGTTTTTTGTTGAGAATCTAAGGTAAATCCCTGTTTAGAGAGATTAGCAATGAAACAGAGAGTTCATAGACACAAAAGATCTGGGGTAGAATAGGTCTTCAGCAAGGCAACCATGCTTGTCGTAAGAGGCGACTTACAGGATTGGGTAGTCAGGCTCGCTGACTTGGTTGATGCATGTCATCGACCCCAATTGCATGGATCGATGCTCATGATGTCAATCACTGGACAGACTTGATTATTTACAGACTGCGGTCATATAGCTGGAATATTGCTGAGTATGGCGTTAAACAACAAACAAACAAACAAACAGAGAGTTCATAGAGTCCACTGTATTAAAGAATGTTTCTAACCTTGGTATTGAGGATTACATTCCCTGTAAGTTATTGTTATCTAAATATGTTCATTTGAACCTTATCAAATAATTGTCCTCACTGTGAACAAATATAAGGTTCCTCTTTAAAAGATTTAATTTTTAGTGTCAACCTTGAAAAGCCTTCAAAATCACCCAAACAGCTTGAAAAGTCCTGAATTTGTACAAAAATTACATATACTTGTTAATAAAAGTTTTAAAATTCTTGACAGAGTTAATATATTTTATTGCCTGTTGTGAAAATGAATCGTGTTGGAAAATTTGTGATGTTCATACTGCTTTTTTGGTCTCAGAAATAATAACCCAACAAAAAAAGCCTTAAAAATGACAGTTGAAGGCCTTGAATCTTAGTGTTACACATCTGTATGAACCATGGATCTGTGAAAACATCAACTTTAATAGACCATATGATCAAGAACAGCTTGACCCAGGAATTCCGGTGATGACAGTAAGAGAACACCGTTTATAAGAGACATGAAGACCATGTGTTGTAACATGAAGCTAATTCAAGTGTTGTAATAGTGGTGTCTCTTCAGGCTTCACAACAAACAAACACTTCAACAATGCAGAACTGATTTTGTTACCTATGTTGTAAACAATGCTGAAGAATTTATTATTTTTAGATTGTACTTTCAACTTAATTGTTGTTGGAGGATGTCATTTGGGAGCATTACACATGTCCTTGGACTTCCCCTCATCCATTACCAGATGACTTGCGACTTTCTTAATCCATTACCAGATGTCTATGACTTTCCTAATCCATTCCCAGATGTCTTACGACTTTCCTAATCCATGACCAGATGTCTTTCGACTCCCTAACCTGATGTCATGGGACTTTCCTAACCTGTTGCCAGAGGTCCTTGGACTTACCCTAACCAGTTACTAGATATCCTAGGGCTAATCCCTAACACATTACCAGATGCCTTAGGTCTTTCCCAAACCTGTAACCAGATATCTTATGACTTTCACTAACCCGTTACCAGATGTCTTAGGACTTCCTCAAACCTGTTACTTTCCTTAACCAGTTACCAGATGTCTACCAACTTTCCCCAGCCAGTTACCAGATGTCTACCAACTTTCCCCAGCCAGTTACCAGATGTCTACAGACTTTCCCTAACCTGTTACAGATGTCCTGGGACTTCTCCTAACCCATTACCAGATGTCTTAGGACTTTCCCCAGCCAGTTACCAGATGTCTTAGGACTTTCCCTAGCCTGTTACCAGATGTCTTAGGACTTTCCCCAGCCAGTTACCAGATGTCTTAGGACTTTCCCTAGCCTGTTACCAGATGTCTTAGGACTTTCCCTAGCCTGTTACCAGATGTCTTAGGACTTTCCCTAGCCTGTTACCAGATGTCTTAGGACTTTCCCCAGTCAGTTACCAGATGTCTTAGGACTTTCCCTAGCCTGTTACCAGATGTCTTAGGACTTTCCCTAGCCTGTTACCAGATGTCTTAGGACTTTCCCCAGTCAGTTACCAGATGTCTTAGGACTTTCCCTAGCCTGTTACCAGATGTCTTAGGACTTTCCCTAGCCTGTTACCAGATGTCTTAGGACTTTCCCCAGTCAGTTACCAGATGTCTTAGGACTTTCCCTAGCCTGTTACCAGATGTCTTAGGACTTTCCCTAGCCTGTTACCAGATGTCTTAGGACTTTCCCTAGCCTGTTACCAGATGTCTTAGGACTTTCCCCAGTCAGTTACCAGATGTCTTAGGACTTTCCCTAGCCTGTTACCAGATGTCTTAGGACTTTCCCTAGCCTGTTACCAGATGTCTTAGGACTTTCCCCAGTCAGTTACCAGATGTCTTAGGACTTTCCCCAGCCAGTTACCAGATGTCTTAGGACTTTCCCTAGCCTGTTACCAGATGTCTTAGGACTTTCCCTAGCCTGTTACCAGATGTCTTAGGACTTTCCCTAGCCTGTTACCAGATGTCTTAGGACTTTCCCCAGTCAGTTACCAGATGTCTTAGGACTTTCCCTAGCCTGTTACCAGATGTCTTAGGACTTTCCCTAGCCTGTTACCAGATGTCTTAGGACTTTCCCCAGTCAGTTACCAGATGTCTTAGGACTTTCCCTAGCCTGTTACCAGATGTCTTAGGACTTTCCCTAGCCTGTTACCAGATGTCTTAGGACTTTCCCCAGTCAGTTACCAGATGTCTTAGGACTTTCCCTAGCCTGTTACCAGATGTCTTAGGACTTTCCCTAGCCTGTTACCAGATGTCTTAGGACTTTCCCCAGTCAGTTACCAGATGTCTTAGGACTTTCCCTAGCCTGTTACCAGATGTCTTAGGACTTTCCCTAGCCTGTTACCAGATGTTTTAGGATGTCCTCTAATCTTTCACTAGATGTCCTAGGACTTCCCCAATCCCTGTCACAGATGTCTACGGACTTTCCCTAACCTGTTACCAGATTTCTAGGACTTCCCTTAACCCATTACTAGATATCTTAGGACTTTCCCCAGCCTTAGTTACCAGATGTCTTCTGATTTCCCCTCACCCATTAGCAGACGTCTTACGATTTTCTCTGAGCTGTTACCAGACATCCAAGGACTTTCCCTAATCAGTGTCCAGATGTCCTTGTACTTCCTGTAACAAGTTTTTCCAGGGACCTCACCTTTAACCATGACCTACTTATATAATATATGCAGACTTTGAGGATATCCTGCTCAAAAGCATCATTAATGAAGTGTTGTGATAAATTAGAGTTTAAGTTGTAATGTGAGTGGGTGAGTATGGTTTTATGCCGCTTTTAGCAATATTCCAGCAATATCACAGCGGTGGACACCAGAAATGGGCCTCACATATTCTACAATGGTCGGGATTCTACCCTGGGTCTTTGGCGTGACGAGCGTACGCTTTAACCACTAGGCTACCCGACCGGCCCAGTTCTGAAGTATTTTCATGTTATAACCATCATTTATTGAAGCACACCCCCAATTGAAGACACCAATGTTTTAATTTGCATGTATTATACCAAGCTCCACACAGCTATATATTACTCTCCATCTCAAACATGATATTATGTCTACTGCTGCCTTTATGTTCTCATACAGACTGGGTTCTGTTTGTCCGTGCACAGCATCAGTTTTAGTATATTTAGAGAAGATTTAATGGTCTGTCCTAAAAAATATAGTTCCTGAAACTCCTTTTGCTTCCGGTTTTGAAATTGAAAAAATAAGAAATCACACTATGTATGTATTTATTTATTGAAGTTTATCTATGTTTTCTTTTGTTTAATCAGGTCTCCAGTGAAGTATTTTACACATGAATTGTCCCTGCGTGGCCGGCTCCGCAGACTGCTGATTAAGAACCCCACTACTAGTGAGTATCATTTAGTTGTCAGCTTGACCCCGATCGGTTGGAGCCGCTCTCAATACAAGGCAGAACCGTACTGATAAGTCAACATCATAAAACACCTCTATATAGTCAAAAAAAGTTTATCCAATGACAAATATTGAAAAGATTTTAACTGTTTCCTTTTAAAGAGGATCACAATCACGTTACCAAGTTGCTGTCATTGAGCTGTTTTTCTATCAGTTAATACAGAAGTACATACTCCCATTACCATTTCTTATCTGCAACAGTGAGTTATTGGCCTGAACGTTGGGAGACTTGAGGTAGAAGTGGTGGACATGATTGTTGTGAATGGAAGCAGTATACCTCTGTCCAGTGGCAGACACAGAGGGATGAAACAAACACTCATTTCATGATACCTTGTTCATGATACAATGTGTAGAAACTTGTTCATGAAGTGAGTGTCAACTTGATCACGCTATAACATGTACAATGTATATCAAAATTGTTCATGATACAATGTATATCAACTTGTTCATGATACAATATATATAAACTTGTTCATGAAGTGAGTGTCAACTTGTTCATGAAGTGAGTGCCAACTTGTTCATGAAGTGAGTGCCAACTTGATCACGCTATAATGTGTATCAACTTGTTCATGAAGTGAGTGCCAACTTGTTCATGAAGTGAGTGCCAACTTGTTCATGAAGTGAGTGCCAACTTGTTCATGAAGTGAATGCCAACTTGATTACGCTATAATGTGTATCAACTTGTTCATGAAGTGAGTGTCAACTTGTTCATGAAGTGAGTGCCAACTTGTTCATGAAGTGAGTGCCAACTTGTTCATGAAGTGAGTGTCAAGTTGTTCATGAAGTGAGTGCCAACTTGATCACGCTATAATGTGTATCAACTTGTTCATGATACAATGTATATCAACTTGTTCATGATACAATGTGTATCAACATGTTCATGATACAATGTGTATCAATTTGTTCATGATTTGTTCATGAAGTGAGGTTCAACTTGTTCATGAAGTTAGGTTCAACTTGTTCATAAAGTAAAGTTCAACTTGTTCATGATAGAATGTGTATCGACGATCAGTTTGGATATTTTTCATTTCCTATGTAAAGAAAATTATAAATAGCAGATAACCCCCTGTATTGGTTGTAAGTGTTAATTCAACACTTATGATTGATAGATCATGCACATGTTGGTACTGGATTTTGGACTCATGTTGAGGACTGGACTGTAGTGATACACTTAATGATGTTTTGTACCTCAATAGCGCTTAGTTCATAAAACAATACGTGAAAACTCAACACTTGCCCTGTTAAGTAACCATTATCGATCACCCCTGGAAGTACTGGGGACCCATCCAAAACATACTTTAGCCTTGAATCATTACACTAACAATGGCTTCCGAACTGTTCTACATGCCAACAGAAAATTTATTTTATTGTTCATGTTCTTACCAAGTAACTCATATCCTTATCTATACATGCCTTGTTTTGTATGGAGACGTGATCCCTGATGCAGTGCAGCTCTAATTATAGATGCAAAATAACCTTTCAAAGCAATTTGTAAAACACTGTCGAGCAGACAGTACAGAACAATTTATAACAGGAGACTGCTTGTTGCAACTCCAGTTTCCTGTGAGTTCAGGTTTTTCACAATGGGTGCATTGCCAGATCTAGGTAAGTTACTGCTAATCTAGGATTTCCCAACATGATTTTGAATCTGAATTGCAACAGTTGAGTTTTCTATGATACACTGATAACCTAAACGTATTATGACATCACTGTATTTTGTAGAAATCGTGTGATCAAAAGTCACCAATCATATCGCATTAGAATATGTCTTGAAAACAAGGTAAACAGACTGTTTTCTGTAAATGTAGTACATTTGTAACTGTTATAATTATCAATAAGATAACAGAATTGCATTTGGACATGAACCGAGTAGCAGTAACTTACTATGTATGCCACGAAATTTGTAAAATCTGATGAAATTTAGATTGTATGTTTAATAGGAGTTAACTGCTCTGTTATGGTAGATGCTTCATAAATGTACTTGGAGTAAGTCATAAGTTGACTGGGAGGTAGGTTGTAAGTTGACTGGGAGTTGGGTCGTAAATGTTCTGGGAATTGGGTCATAAGTGGACTGGGAGTTAGGTCATAAGTGGACTGGGAGTTGGGTCATAAGTGGACTGGGAGTTGGGTCATAAGTGGACTGGGAGTTAGGTCGTAAGTTGACTGGGAGTTGGGTCGTAAATGTTCTGGGAGTTTGGTCGTAAGTGTACTGGGAGTTGGGTCATAAGTGGACTGGGAGTTGGGTCATAAGTGGACTTGGAGTTTGGTCATAAATGGACTTGGAGTTGGGTCATAAGTGGACTTGGAGTTGGGTCATAAGTGGACTTGGAGTTTGGTCATAAATGGACTTGGAGTTGGGTCATAAGTGGACTGGGAGTTAGGTCATAAGTGGACTGGGAGTTGGGTCATAAGTGGACTGGGAGTTAGGTCATAAGTGGACTGGGAGTTTGGTCATAAATGGACTTGGAGTTGGGTCATAAGTGGACTGGGAGTTAGGTCATAAGTGGACTGGGAGTTGGGTCATAAGTGGACTGGGAGTTTGGTCGTAAATGTCCTGGGAGATGGGTCGTAAATGTACTGGGAGTTTGGTCGTAAATGTACTGGGAGTTTGGTCGTAAATGTACAGGGAGTTTGGTCGTAAATGTACTGGGAGTTTGGTCGTAAATGTACTGGGAGATGGGTTGTAAATGTACTGGGAGTTTGGTCGTAAATGTACTGGGAGTTTGGTCGTAAATGTACTGGGAGTTTGGTTGTAAATGTACTGGGAGTTTGGTCGTAAATGTCCTGGGAGATGGGTCGTAAATGTACTGGGAGTTGGAATTGCATTGGTAACTGTAAATGGTATAATTCATAAACAATCTTCCTTTTTGCTTTGAGATAAGTGAATGATTCGAGTGTGTCATTCAACACGTCTACACTGGCAAGTAGTACCTCAACTTCTACATTCATGTGCGATATTTTGAAATTCATATTCCAAACAGACAGTAATCCACAGCTTGGCAACAACATCGACTCTACCTGCTACACACAAACGTTTACTCCAGTGCTACGTGTGTTTACTACGCTGAGTAAACAGTTGTATTCTTTCACCACGGTCCAAGTCACTCGTGTTGTAATCTTGAGTGATCATTGGGGCATTAATCCCAACGCACAGACACCTTGACACAACACTGGCTGATTTAGGGGTCAATGTTATGGCTGCAGATTAGTGCTGTAAGCTGCAGATGATTGAGTTTAGACGGAAAGACTTACTGGTAATTATTAAGCCTATTATTGGTTGTAAAATGGATTATGATGTTTGAGGTATGCTAGTGAATAGAGCTGATGTGCTCCTAAGATTAACAATATTTGTCCATGCTTGAGGAATTGGAAAATTATTAAGAAAAGATTTCTGGCATGTGTCTAATGCAAAACATTATCATGAGATGAAATTTTGCCCGTAGCTAGTCCAAACGCACACACACACCTACCTCTATATGTGTTTGTTTGTTTTTGTTTGAATTTGGACTTTTTGTGAGGTTCTTATATTCTGACATTCTGGAGACACAGGAGACACAGGTGGCCCAGTCGTCTAAGGTGCAGCAATGTTCGCTGTGCCGGTTACACACAACCAAATGTTTTCCCATTATTAAGTAACATAATATTTTTAAAAAAATATTTAACTTAGCATTCAATAGCTATTACCTGTACATGTGTTCACAGTCTGGCCTTAAAGCTGTGAGCAATAAAAAAAATAAAAAATGACAAGCTTCTCTTCTGAGTACAGGAAGCTAAACACACCACACCCAGTTCCGCACCAAATGTCACTTGCTTAAAAATATCTGTGACCACATTCAGCATAAGTCATCATGTTAAAAAGACGGCACTATATAGAAAAAGAATTGTCAGTTTTAATTACTGGGTGGATGTACATTTAAAAAACATAAAAATCTTACACAAAATCATCCAATCACAGCTGAGAGCTGATTCAATCTGCACTGAAGGATCTCTACGAAAACTGCTTTTTGAAAACTGTTTCTGATTTGGTGGAGTAGAACCTGCAGAGTTGTGTCCCTTGTGTGTGCCTGAAACCAATGGATGTTCAAATTGCATTTCGTCCCCATTATGTTTGTAGGTTTGTCAGCACCATACCCATGCTAATGGGTTTAATTAAAGTGGCAAACATAACATCTGAGACCTGCATCACCTTGGGCTGTCCTCCCACATCAAGCTGACATGATGTGATATAACTGGAATACTGTTAAAAATTTACTCTTACATTTCGAAGTATTCTTTTCCCACGCCATCTTCCTTAACCCAAACCCTTCCCACATCTACAACAAAACCCTCCCTCCACTTGACAGGATCCACTTCCTACCCCTAACCTAAACTCTTCTAACATATACCACACAACCCTCCCACCCCCTCTTCTCTGTCCCAAACCCTTCTAACATATACCACAAACCCCTCCCACCACTTGACAGTGACCCACCCTAGTACTTCATCCTCTACCCCTAATCCCTCACCAGGGATCCATCTACAACCTCCCCAGACCCCCACCCAGTGGGGATTTTGACTTAGAATATGCCACCAATGCTCGTTGTATAAGGCAACCAAATTAACTGGGTGGTCAGGCTTGGTGGCTTGGTTGATAGTTTATCCTCATACCAAGACGGCATGGATCATTGCTCACAATATCAATCACTGGATTGCCTGGTCTTGACATGATTATTTGCAGGCCACCATCACATAGCTGGAACAAACAAACAAACAAACAAACAAACAACTTCCTCTACCCCAATACCCATTCAACATAGTGATCTTGCAATACTCTACTAAAAGAATCATAAAACCGTAAACTCACACAACCTATATATTGTGAGATACTATCACAATAGCCTGAAGATAATAGCCCTCTTTCAGCATCCCGCAAATGATTACACGGAAAATCTCATCTTT